TCAACAGTCCATGGTAATATGTTTAGGTTCAAAGTCAAGTACAAGTTCAGATAGTAAAACCAGAGAGGGTGAAGAGTCAACCCCTGCAAAAACTGGAAAACATGATCAGAGAGATGAAAATGGCAAAGAATTACCCACCACACAAAGTAAACTAAATGAATGTCTAGTGGCCAAGTTTTGCTTGGAGTAGTACATGGTAGTAACTGTTGCTGTAAACCTGATTGAGAGAAGTCCTTTGAAGTTCAAGATGGTATGTGGCCTAACAGCACTAGATCCTACTGTCATTTTATACAAGCCAAATCTTGGAATCATCAGAATAGGGGCTGTTCCTGAAGCTCTACATGTGGCAAATCAGATCAACAACAGAGTAGCAGAAAAATCAAAGCAACAGTACACTGTTGCAAAACAAACTGATAAAGTTGGATTGGATACATTTACAGTGAAATCTTGAAACCCTGACACATGTCTGTTGTAACATCACTGGATGTGCCTCTTCTGCAGGCCAGCCTTTATTTTTCCTTTAAGCCATCTGTAATATTATAAAAGCCCCTCAACGTCATCAGGACACATGTACTTTCTGCCCTGGGACACAAAATGTACTTAAGTAAGGACAATGCAAGAAGAATTATTCATTCGGCCTGCTTGGGCCTGCCAATGGGATCTTCTCCTTTGGGCACAACATGTCATGCAATCTGTAACCATGCTCCTCCTCGTCATCTAAGTGTACTGTAGCCAAGAGCCCTACAAAATTGTTTCCCGCTGTTACAACCTACAGTCTATATGAGTTTTCCCTGGTGACTAAGATTTTCCTAAGAGCCACTGTTTTCCCCTGATGTTTCTGCCAGCAACTCCGATCATCCTCAGCCAGAATGATCAATATTTTATTTATTTATTTGGCTTTTATACCACCCATCTAGATAAATCTACAACAGCCAGAGATGATGCAAGTCATAGGCTGGAATATATGCAAGACGCGAAAACATGATGGCTGCTCTGCAACCAGTGGTCTCTGCGGCCATATTCCATGCAAAAAGCCAACTGAATGAGGTTCTTTCTATCTGTACATTTTAGAGGCTTGCCTCTGAGAAAGGTGCCTGAAATCTAAGAGTACATGATAACAGTTTTCTCTACTTCCACAGATCAGTATGAAGATAGTGGAAGGATCACTATGGAATCACCTCAGGGGATCTTGCAGAGCTGGCAGAGAAACAGCTTTGTCTATCAGAGCTTGGAAAAGAACCTTTTTTGGATTCTGGAAGTTCTAGTCCAAAGGCTTTTTCCTAGCTGCAGTGTATATGAAATCCTACAGAGTTCATCAGGTTAATCATTGGATCCAATTAACTTCCCAGTGTTTTCTCCAGGTATTGCACAAATAATCCAGAGACTATATTTTAATAAAGCTATCTTTGCAAACAGTATTGTAGAATTGCCCTGTTATCATTACTTTTAGAAATGTTGATTTATATCATGCCACGTTCATTTTTCTGCACATCTTTCCTAACTTCCAGGTGTATGGGAAGGTAGTTGAAATCTGAAAACTAAGGGTGGGGTTTTTTTGTTTGTTTTTCTGTGTGAAAGGAAAGGTCAGATGTATTCTGCAAAAAGAAACAGAAGATTGTGACAGCAGATCAGTAGTTAATATGTTTGCTGGCATATTTGGAATTCTGCCCGCTAAGATAAAATCAGTTAGATTTGGATCCTAAATTTACAACCGTTCACAGGAATTTGGGTGTGTACAAAAATGGTTCCAGGTATGCCAGATAATAACAGTGCCTAGCTACTATTATTTGAACTGCAGATAATTACAGAGGAATTGCAAACTGACAGATTTTGACACAACCACACATAATAATTAGTAACTGTACTTCCTTTTTAATTCAAAGGAGGTTGATGCTATGCCTCTAACAGACAGATTTGCATTTGTATGCACCAGCAAGCATATAAGCTGCTGACAGCAGACTGCTGATGCAATTTCATGGTTCTTTTGCAGAATGGTCTCACCTTCCCCATTCCAGGAGGAAACAAAACTATCTGGTTAATATTTCCGTTCATAATATTCATTTACAGGGTAGTATGTGGGGAAATCCCAAACTGATTTTAGTGCACAGTCATAACATACAACCTGAAGAACCATCTGACTCTTAAAAGTCATCAATTTTTCAATTCATTAATTTAAGCACTTTACAAAAGGAGCAAAATTAAACTATTTCCTTACTTTCAGTTTTCTTTGACATACACATCTTATATTAAGTCTAAAGAAATCTGCTGTGACTAATATTTAGCAGTGCTCTGTTTAAAATATCTCAACACAGCATGAAGTGATCTTGAATGCAAGAAACAGAAACAAAAATTAAATGTCAGCAGATACCAATGAAAACTGAAATTCTTTATCATTCTAAATTATTTTCTACCTTCTCACTTTAACAGTAAGAAATTGTTCATAGAGTATAAACATATTGCCCATAAGAAATAATATATACATTTCTGTCTCACTTTCATCTGTCTCTATAATTTGTATGCACAGTTTGCTCAGTAACAGAACACATGATTCAGGGCCTAATGCTGCTGTCCCACCCATGTCCACTACAGATGGAAATCTAAATGTACTTTCTAGCAATAAAAAGGAGTTTACATTCATAGAATGGGGCTTTCTCACCTACACCTTCCTTCTGCATTCCACTCTAAAGCTGCTCTTGGGAATTCAGGAACCATAAGGATGTGGAAAAGATGAAATTGTGGAAATAAGAAATTCAATTTCAATTCAATTTCAAATGTTCTCTTCCTTTGCAAGTCACATACATTATTACTTAAAATGTTCCATTATTACTTAGAAAGTTAAACATGTTTATGGATTATGGAGGGAGCCCAAGGGAGCCCTATGGAACTTACTTCAAAGTGAGTCTGCTAACAATTTTAGGCTCCAAATCGATGTGTGTATTAGAGGGAGAACAGTGTGCATGCAGATTGCAGAGACAGATAGTAGTAAGATATATGTTAATTTTTATGGGCAATATTATACACACAATACATGGCCACAACTATTTTATGTATCACACTGGATATCCTAAACAAGAAACAAAAACAAAACAAAGCCTCAAAATGTAGTTACAGCAAGTCAGAGCTTTGCTGTTTTAAAGTAATTTATATAGAGGAAATATATAGCAAGGAGGGATCAATCACACCATAAATTTTAAGACAGCACCTGTCCTTTACAGCCAACCTGAACAGAAAAGGGTGGGGCTGATCATTCTGGCTAGAAGGAAAATAAGGCGCTGCTCTCCAGACAGAAAGAGCGGCTCCTCATTAACATACCCACCCAAACACGGTGACGTCACGGAGCGGCAGGCTAGAATTATTGCACCATGCACTAGGGAAGCCGAGCCCGTCCTTGCCTCTAATTGTCATCGAGCTGTAACTTGGGATGAAACGGCAGCTTTTCTCCTCAGGATCTCGTTCCCTCTGCCTCCCACCTATGGAAGGATTGCCTTTTTCTTCCCCTCCTCCCTACCCCGATTTCCTGCTACCACTCCAGCACGGGCAAATTAGCAGATGGAACCCCTCCTTCCCTCCTTATCCTTCCGAATGAAAGATCCGAGAAGGGTCACCCGCGTCCTTGACGCCGTCTTTCGTCACCTTCTGGGATCGGCCACAAGCCTTTACAAGGGAAGACCCGTTTTTCCTTTTAGAAAGTCTTGAGAGTCTCTCCAATTAACTATACCTAGTAACCTCAGTTATCAATCAGATCGCGGAGGTTTGGGGGGGGAGAGAAGGGGCCTTGCTGCCGAACACACTAAGCGACACAGTCACAACACAGGTGTGGTGGCAGGGAGGAAATGTTAAATCAACCTGCCGAAAGCTCCGATGCCCTGCACTCTCCTGATGCAGTCAATGAAAGGAAGTAAAATGCCAGCCATGCGTTCCGCTGGAAACGGCCAGGTTTCTTATTCGTTCTTTCTCCACGCACGCACACATGTCACGAAAGCAAAATAAACGACCAGGAGGCCGCACTAAGGATCTGTCTGGAAGGAGGATGCTAAGGGCAACCTGCTTTCTTGCAAGAATGGACTTGCTCGCTAAGCCGGACGGCTCCTGCAGCCACCTCCCTCCTCCAAGGTGTGTGTGTGTGGGGGGGGGGGAGGATGGAAACTTGACACAGAATACGGGAAGCTCTACTGCCCCTAAACCCTACTAACCTACATTGACGCCCGCCGGAGCCTCCTCTTGTTTTGTCTCTCGCCTCCCCCTCCCCCGTTCTTGCTTTCCTTCCTTTTTCAGTCTGACCACCCTGGCTCCATCATCCTGCTGTCTGGGTATCTTCTAGGCAGGAAGGATACTCCCGTTTGTAATCGTTCTCCTCCACCGCCCCAAAGCTGCCAAATTCTCCGGAGGGAGGGCAGGAGTCACCACGCACCTCTTCCAGCCTGCGCTGCGGCTGATCCGGGGCCCATCCATCCATTAGTCTCAAGAGGATCGCCCTGGCCTTCGACATCCCCTTCGCCCGCCCCAGCCTTCCTTTGTGTATGTGTGTGTTTGTGCGCGCGCGCGAATGCCCTGTTCTGTGCTTCAACGCTGGGCGGGAGGAATGGGAGAGCTCTGCAGAGATGAAGGGGAGAGGTAATGCCCATCAACGATGTGGAAAAAAAAAACCCTTGGTTATGAGTCCATTCCCCTTGACTCCCATATTGGGTCTCTGATCCATCTGGTTCATCACATCATGGCCTTGTGTCATTTCTCTCGTCCGGTCCATCTAGGATGCTGCATATTTCTACTTCTCCCATGGGAGAAGGCAAAACCACCATCTGGGGACAGATGGTTTCTTCCCTGACCGCCGCCGCCCTTGGCGGGCTCTCAGTTCCCCGATACCTGGCGGCGTGATATTCCGTGCCACGCGCCACCCCACAGCCTCGCCTCGGCGACCACGAGGCTTGCCTGAGCCCTCTGTTCACTCTCGCCTTCGCTCTTCTGCGCGTTCCAGGTGTGGCTCGTCGCCATTCACTTACCTTCTCTCACCAGGGCCGGCCAGTGTACCTCGGAGGAGTCCCTCGCTCTCTCTTGCCCTCTCGCTCCCTCTTCCGCAGCCCCTGCAATGTGGCGGAGATGGGAAAGAGAAGACTCAATGATGGGGTTTAACCAGCGGGCGGGAGCGAGCACGCGCGCGGCTTGGGTCACTGTGTGGTGGGGGAGCGCGCGCGTGCGTGTGTGACTCTATGAAGGAGGGGAGCGACATGTGGGCGACTCTTCCGATGCAGAGCATTTAAAACGCAGCGAAAGGAAGGCGGGCAGGAGGGAGGGGGCAAAGGCAGGGCCGCCCTTCCCTTGACGCAGAGCCGCCTGCAACGGCGGGCAGCATCTTCCTCCCAGCCAGGCTCGACGGAGCGCAGGGTCTTCCCCCCCCACACACACACCCCGCTGAGGGCGTTGCCCCATTCCGCAACCGCCAAACCTAGGCTGGAGGCTTTTCTGGGAGAACAAAGCAGAGCTCCCGCCCTTCGTCAGGCCCGCTTTCCCCGCTCCTTTCCGTCCTCCTTCACCCCCTCCCCGCCTAACCCCACCCTACGGCTCCGGAGCGGGATGTTGCGGCAGGGTGGGTTTTTCTGCCCTCATAGGCGCGCGCCCGTTGTGGTCTCTGTTACGCCTCTCTCTCTCCCGCCCCCCCCCCACACACCGTTTTTATTCCCGCCTAGGTACTTAAGCCTCCTCTTGTTCTTGAAGGGGGAAAGGGGGCCGCGCTAGAAGGAGACGTCTCCTTCAAGCTGCACATGGAGGAGAGGGCAGCTGCCGCCCCTGGAAGGGTAGTGGTGGATTAATGGCGGGGGCTCCCCATAAGAGAACTCTTGTGGATGTTGGATGAGGAGCATCGCAGATAGGAATAGAAGTTAGGTGTAAGATATGAAGTCTGGCACACACGTACATTGGCCCATAGTAACTGCATACATATTTATTAAAGGCTGGCAATGTCTTCAGACAAATCTGCGAAAATGGACCAAATGGGAAGTACATGTTCAATTCTGGGGCGATTGCAGGGCAGAGCAAAGAGTCCCTGGTCAGCTGTGGGAGCAACACTCTGCAGATCCTTTGTGTTCCTTCTAAAATCCATGAGATGAAGAGTTTTAACCAGAATTTGAATTGAGCAAACAGCAATTGAAAAGGCAGAGTTGATGGCAACAAAGGATAGAGAGTAATAGTAGAACTTCTATAAAATCCAACATCTTCCAGGACATTAAACCTTAGGAAAGGCTTGGGCTGAACTCAGTGCAAGGTGTATATACCCATTCAGCCATTCTACCACCCATTTTACATAGGTATGCTTTGAAGTGAAAGATTAATACAGTTCATTGCTAGCTAGGACTCACATTCTAGAATTTTCTCTCTTTTTTTGTCCTCCTTAATTAGTAAGCCAACCAAACTAGATCACTTACCATGATTCAGTGTCTCAGTGACTGCAGATCCTCTGTTCCTCTTGCATGGGCTTTGATAGACTAGGTCAGAATTTATATGCTAGGATCTGTCATTTTCCCCCCTCAACCATCTTCCTTTGTTTATTTCTGTGTAGTAGTGCAGATCCCACCGCCTGATGACTTTTGAACAATTGCAAGATGTGTGTATGCCAACAGAGCTAATATACTCCTGTTTATCACATCACCAAAACTGAAGGCTGTGTGGCCCCAATCCCCAATCCCACCTCTGGTCATACCCATTTTTTGACAGAACTCTGGAAACACACAAATACTATCAGAGACCTGGACAAAGATCAGGTTGGAGTGTCACCTAAAGAGTGCAGAGTGAGCCAGTTACCTGTGTGCCCTTACTTGGGTATGGATTGGTCAGAGACCCAGTGTGCATATTTAGTGTGTGTATCAAACTTCTACTTGCAGTCACGGAATCATAGCCGATGAATCATTCATACATTGAAATGTTCCTCAGACAGAAGTCTCAGACAGTTAATTAGAGTGATTTGACTAAAGGTTCAAATCAAGCCCTGATAGCATTCTATGGCAAAGAAAGAGACATACTGCCACATACCCAAGAGTGGTTTAAACTTAAAGGTTTTGCAACAGATATCCATATTTTTCTTTCACCTTTTCTCTAAATTGAGATGTGTTGTGCCTTTCCCTTCTGTCTAAAAGAACATTTCATTTGAATATTACATCAGCCAATGTGGTATGGTCAGGCTAGGGCTCCGATGATGGCTTCAAATTCTCACTTGGCCAAGGAAACTCATTGTGAGTGACAACAGTAAACCTTTCCTTGATCATCTAATATACCTTTTTTTTAAAAAAGAAGAAGACTATTAGGGTCACCATAAGGCAGCAGGAAGTTGATGACACATATGAGCAACAAGAGAACTATAGGAAAGAAATCTGACTGCAACTTTCTTCAAAACTCTGATGCCTAGAAGTTGACTACACTGAGTTTTATGGGATGGGTACAGCTGATATTCACATTGCTCTTCAAGGGGTAGCAGTTCAGTACTTTTCAGCTAAAAAGAAGTAACTGGAGTGCATATGCTCAACTGAAAGTTACATTTCTTCTAGGCATTTGAATAGTCCTGTGCAGTTGCCTGGATTTGATGATTTGGACCAAGAAGGGATCCTGGCCTGTGAGCCCTTTGAATGCTTTGTGATTTGCTAAATTAGTCCTGCTGATTTTGGTATGAGTGACAAAGGAGGTTGGCTTCTAATACTCAGAAACGATTGTTTGATGATCCAAAACACATTTCAGAAGGTGCACCTCTAGTCACAAATGAGTCATGAGTTTGAACATACAAAGATCCCTGCTGGATCAGGCCAAAGGCTCATCTAGACCAGCTTCCTATATCTCACCATGGCTTCATCAGATGCCTCTGGGATGACACAAGACAGCCACAAGACAGCTAGATACGTGTCTCCTGATACCACTCCCCTGCATCTGGCATTTTGAAGTACCTTCCTTTTAAGCCTGAAGATTATACATCCCCATCATGCCTTGTAACCTATGATGAATTTTCCCACCAGAAATCTGTCTGATCTCCTTTTAAAAGCATCTAGGTCAGATGCCATCACCACATCCGGTGGCAAGGAGTTCCACAGACTAACAACAAGCTGGAGAAAAGTATTTTCTTTTGTCTGTTCTCACTCTCCCAACACTCAATTGGAGTGGATGTCCCCTGGTTCTGGTATTGTGTGAGAGGGAAAAGAACTTCCCTCTTCCACTTTATCCACCCCCTGCATAATTCTATACATCTCAATCATATTCCCCCTCAGGTGCCTTTTCTCTAGACTAAACAGCCTCAAATGCTGTAGCCTTTCCTCATATAGGAGGTGCCCCAGCCCAGTAATCATTTGGTCGCTCTCTTCTGCACCTTTTCCAGCACCACTATGTCTTTTTTGAGGTGCAGTGACCAGAACTGTACTCAATACTTTTCAGGTGCGGCCTTACCTCTTTTTTTGTGCAATAGCATTATAATGTTGGCTGTTTTATTTTCAATCCCCTTTTAAATGATACATAGCATGGAAGAAACTAGATTTGGTGGACAAAGTGTCTGAAGAACTATGGATGGAGGCTCAAAACATTGTATAGGACGCGGCAACAAAAAACGATGGAAAGGAAATGCAAGAAAGCAAAGTGGTTGTCCAACGAGGCCTTACAAATACAGTAGCAGAGAAGAGAAGGGAAACAAAATGTAAGGGAGATAGGGACAATTACAAAAAATTGAATGCAGAGTTCCAAAGAATAGCAAGGAGAGAAAAGACGGCCTTCTTAAATGAACAGTGCAAAGAAATAAGAGAAAAAGAATATAAAGGGGAAAAACAGAAATCTGTTCAAGAAAATTAGAGATATTAAAGAAACATCTTGTGCAAAGATGGACATGATAAAGAACAAATATGGTAGAGACCTAACAGAAGCAGAAGACACCAAGAAGAGGTGGCAAGAATACACAGAGGAATTATATCAGAAAGATCTGGATGTCCCGGACAACTCAGATAGTGTGGTTGCTGACCTTGAGTCAGACATCCTGGAGAGTGGTCAGACATCTTGGAGAGTGAAATCAAGTGGGCCTTAGAAAGCATGGCTAACAACAAGGCCCTTGGAGATGATGGCATTCCAGTGGAACAATTTAAAATCTTAAAAGATGATGCTGTTAGGGTGCTACACTCAATATGCCAGCAAGTTTGGAAAACTCAGCAGTGGCCAGAAGATTGGAAAAGATCAGTCTACATCCCAGTCCCAAAAGAAGGGCAGTGCCAAAGAATGCTCCAACTACAGTATAATTGCACTCATTTCACACACTTTCAAGGTTGTGCTCAAAAGGTAGGCTTCAGCAGTATGTGGACCGAGAACTCAAAGAAGTACAAGCTGGATTTCGAAGGGGCAGAGGAACTAGAGACCAAATTGCTAACATGCGCTGGATTATGGAGAAAGCCAGACAGTTCCAGAAAAACATCCATTTATGCTTCATTGACTATGCAAAAGCCTTGGACAATGTGGACCACAGCAAACTATGGCAGGTTCTTAAAGAAATGGAGGTGCCTGACCACCTTATCTATCTCCTGAGAAATCTACTGTATATGTGGGACAGGAAGCAACAGTTAGAACTGGATATGGAACAACTGATTGGTTCAAAATTG